GAAGCTGAGGCAGGAGGATGGTGTGAGTTCAAGGTCAGCCTGGGCTGCATAGTAAATTCAAGTCTGAACTGCACAGCTAGACCTTATCTCAAAAAAAAAAATTGTTACTAGGAATACACTTTAGTACTATGTATTAAGCTCTGAACTAAGTGCTATACAGAATTATCCACAAAATCCTCACACTATTAAAGTAGGATATAGTAGCAGCGTTTTACAGATGAGGAAATTGAGGCCTACAGAAGTCCTCATCTGAGGCCATTATTATATGGAAATGGGATTTGAATTAAGGACTGTATGACCCCAAGTGCTGCTGTCCTTTGAAGACTGTACCCCTATGAATAGGCAAATGGATGGGACATAATTCTTCTATATCTCAAAGCCCAAAATATGGGAGCTGGATAGGACTTAGAGGTAACCTGGCCCAGTTGTGGTAGTTCACATCTGTAATTCCAGCAATGGCACCTGAGGCAGGAGCATAGCTGTGAGTTCAAGGCCAGCTTGGTCTATAAGGGTGAACCCTGTGTCAACACCATCAAACAAAATTAGCCTGGGCTTGCCACTGAATTTCAAAGATGGAAAAACTGAAGAATAGTTTCATAGGATAAAGTGAAGCCAAGGACACCCTCTGTCAGACTTTGCAGAGCAAAGAAGAGAGCCTTGCCTGAAAACTTGTATGAAGCCCCTTTGTGGACTCATCTTTCACATTTAATGGTAACACCATCAGCATAATGGCTTTGAGTGGCGATAAATGCATCAGTGAGAAGAGTACTTTTTACATTGTGCTTGTCATGCTGTTGCCATTTGATTTCACTTTTCACATCATTTGCTTTTCTTGTGATGATTCAATTTAGGTGACTCAGGCCAGCACATTTCAAACATCAGTGTGGGTATGAATTCCTAGGGTCTTAGATGGGCCTTGAAGGCTCTGCGCCTCTAACAACTCCCAGGAGACGCTGCCCATTGACTGACTCAAGTGGCAGAGATGGAGACAGGGTGTGAGGAAACCTTTTAGCATGTCTGCTTTGTCGGAAGCATCTGCGAGTATCCTTATCTTTTGTTTTTGTAGCTGGTGACTAATGCCATGGCCTGCTAAGTTCTGGTCAGGAAATGCTCAAGATAATTTGCTTAGGCATTTACCAAGACCTGTCTCCATGAACTTTCTTAATGAGCTAAGGCCACAATGGTATCTTTAAAGGTGGGGCTTGGTAGGAAGAGTGCATTTGGAAAACCTGAATCGAACTGCAAGGTGCAGGACAGGTGGAACCATGCTGAGTGCAGAGTGTTCATGGCACCAAACCAGAGTGTTGCTTGTGTTGGAAGCGTTTGGTTTAACCTTGTGATTAAGAGCAAGATTGTCAGCTCTGCTGCTGGCCAACTGTGCATCTTTGGCTAAGTGACTGTACCACCCTCAGACTTAGTTCCCTTATCTGCAAAGGAGTGGTAAAATGAGACATTATATGCACATGCAATAGGACATGTAGTCTTTGCAACTCAGTATTTCCCTAAACAAGAAAGAGGATGAAATACTTTGAAGTTAAATTAGCAAAGAGTTTTACCTAGTGAAAATTCTCCAGGACCCACTTTGATGGACAAATAAACATGATTTGCAGTAACATACTAAGTTTCTGTGTGTAAATGGTGCTTAAGTGACTGGAAACCGTGTAAGTAGAACAGCTGGTCTAACCTTATTGGATGTCCTCCTTTTTTCCTGACTCTTCCAATAAAAAGAGATTTTCACCAATTCTACATAGAGGATTGTAAGATATATTCACCATTATTCTGTTAAGTTGGAGACAGGAGTAATGCAAAACTGGAGTAGGAAGTTTTAGTCTAAGTAACATAAACAACTCCCTAACCCTTTACATTAATCAGCTGCTTGGCAGACCTTGGGTCCCTTCCCACTGTGCTTTCAACAGCACAGTTTCTGAATTGGCCAAAGCCAAAGAGAAACAGCCTTCACTCCAGCTGTGAGTAGGCCCAGCACTGGGGCCTGATGGCTGTTCTTTTCTGAGGGTAGATATAGAGGGTGCTAAGCTATATGTATGATTCTCACTCTCCCGCAGATTAAAAAGCCTTCTTGGTATCTCTCATAATGCTGATGGCTTTCTCATCAGTGCCCTCTTCTTCTGTCCATCTCAGTGATGATAGTGACATCAGCAGCAATTGCCTACTGGATGCAATTAGATGTGCTGTGTAGATAAATGTTTTATATACTAGCAAAGTAATGGGGGAGAGATCTTGAACCTTGTTTCTAAAGAAGCAAGTATCAGAAAAGTCAGGCTTGACCCACAGCTGATAGGTGGCAGAGTTGGGCTGGAACTGAGGCCTGTAGATTCCAGAGACCATCCTCTTAACCCCTGTGTTTTCCTGCCTTTTTGCTTAAGTCCATTGGTAGCCATTGTTTGGTGCAATGTCTTTCTGCATCTCTGTCTCTGCCCTTCCCAAGTATGTGACTAGATGTGTGGTGGTGGAATACTACAGGCAGGAGCAGAGGGTGGATCCAAGGAAAGAGTAAATAATCCAAAAAATGGGAGAGATCAGTTCATCACAAGACCTGCTAATGTGACCACCTATGCTGAAAATGACAGCTTGGTTTTTACTGAGAGGCAACCTAGTCTAAGAGAAAGGTTATGGGCATCAGAGCCAGACACGTGGAGAGGAGTCCAAATGTGTTACTTAAACATAAGACTCAGTTTCCTAATTTGTGAAGCAGGGACAATGATATCAACTTTGCAGGCTTGCTATAAGGATGAGAGAGGATGCATGTTCAGTAACAGGAAGCCACAGTGTCCCACTTTTCTTCCCACCTCTCTGAGCCTTCTTTCCTACCTCTTTTCATCCAAGCAAATAGAAGAGGTCTAGGCATTATTTCTTTGCCTGAAAAAACCTGGGGAAACTCTCAGAGGAGGGGTAAAGAAAGGATTCTAGAGCATAAACTCCATGAGGACAAGGGCTTTGTATAGAATTATCACCACCCTGTCCCCAACAGCTAAAAGTTGTGTGCCCAGCCTGAGAAATGTAGCAAGGCCCTGTCTCAAAATAAAAAATACAAAGAACCTAGGGATGTAGCCCAGTGCAAAGACTCAGTTCAGTCTTCAGTTACACACACACACACACACACACACACACACACACACACACACATTAAGAATAGCTAATATGGCTCTTGTTTAACTCTGAACCAGTAAGCCCAGTACAGACTGACTTGTTTACAAGGCAGATCATTTGCAAATCTTAGCTTGTTTGCCCCTTTAAAATGGATTTTAAATTTTGCCCAATTTTTCTTGCTAAAGAAGCCTGGTAAGTCCAAATTTTCTTGCTAAAGAAGAAAGTTTGGGCATGAGGGTTAGGCCTGTTGGTGTTTTCCAGGCACAGAACACAATGCATTACACTGACTGGATGAGCCAGTGTAGCCTGACAACAACCAGCAACTGGAAAGAACCTTTAAGACCATAGAATCCAACCTCCTCCATGAAGAAATCAGGAAACTCTGGGATGCTGAGGCAGGAGGGTCAAGCCCAACCTGAGAGACTTCGCGAGACCCTGTCTCAATATTTTAAAAGTTTAAAAAGGAATGGAGGGCCGGGGATTTAGCTCAGTGGTTCCGCCGCCTGCCTTGCAAGCACAAAGACCGGAGTTCGATCCCTGGTACAAAAAAAAAAAAAACAAAGTAAAAAGGAATGGAGATGTAGTTCTGTGTTAAGGCCCTGGGTATAATCTTCAGCACCACAGCCAAACAAACAAAAAATCCATCTACATCATAAAGTGTTAACCTATTAAGATAGAGCTATTGTTAGGCTTGATCCGATCAGTGTTTTGTTTTGTTTTGTGAGGCCTTTCCTTACCCTGCTCCATTTAGAAGGACGATTTTAATAAAAAAATCATATGGGCTTACTCTGGCCTTGAAAATGATCTTCAGCAAAAATGGTGCTCTTGCTGGTCCTCAGTTCCAGGAGTGTAGTTTGTACAGCCATGGCATGCTGTCCCCACCCACCTGGGAATGCCTTTCCTGTCGCTCTTCCCTACAGTGCCCAAGGATGTGCTTCTGGGTGTTGATGGTTGGCAGAGAGCAGAGCATTCATTTCTTTTACAGATTGTGGGTCAGCTGTGAGCATGGTGCTTTCTTCCTGCAGCAGTCCTCTCTCTTATTTCTCATTATCAACCAGGCCTGGGCTGTTGGGCACTGTGTGGTGAAATACATTTTAGACTTGATTTAACTGGACCTCAACTCTTCAGCACAAACTTAGTAATAGGGAATAGGAAACAGTGCTGGGAATTGAGAATCTTAACATCTAAAAATCAATGAGATTGGATTATTTTACCTACAATCCCAGAATGGTGCTTGGTAAAACCAGCTAAAATGCAGAGGATTTTCTGGTAAATAACTCTGTAGTATGTTGCCATCTAGTGGAGCACATAGCAAATTTAAGGTTAATGTGTTTTGACCGTGATCAGCAGGAGGTAACAGAAAGATTTTCTAGAGGCAAGTGTTTGGGGAACGCATTCAAATTCAGGAGAGACCAAAGTTTAGTGACATTTCCCTAAAGAAGGAGGCCCATGGTCATTCTGCTTCTCGAGAAAGTGGTTATTGACCACCAGGCTGTGGGCAAGTTTTCAAACACATCACCTGAGGAGGACGCTGAGTTTTCGTTGTCACTGCTACAGAAAGCAGTTTCTTATCAAAAGCCCGATGTAAAATTTTTGATTATTACTTTGTTATTTCAGTGTTTTTCAAAATGTGATTTTAATGTTTTCAATACCTTTCTTACTTACTTTTCCTTTTCTTCTATTAAATTTCCAGAAAATATATATGTTAATTTTTAAGAGAAGTAAACATAAAACTTCACCCAGAAGCAGTTTCTTATTTTAAATTCTAACTGGCGTTCCCCAAATGTTCAAGTCTGTTATCTAAGAGCTGATTTTTACTAAGGTCGTATGTTGACTGTCTCATGAACACTGTTTTTGTTTGCATCTTTGTTCTTTTGCGGATGTTTCCTTAGATCTCTCCCTGGTGCCACAGCGGCTGAGTGTGCCTCAAATCTGAAGAAAATCTACACAGTGCAAACAGTGCAGGTAAGATCCAGAAAAGGGTGTGGGGGGCTGAGACAGCTCATACTGGCCAGTTAGTTGTTCTCCACTTTAAGGCCGGGTAGCCCTTGCCAGGGCTTCTGTTCTGAATCTGGTTCTCAGGTCCATTTTGGTGCAGCTGCCCTTGGCCAAGTCCAAGCTCAGATGGCCTGCTTCTCTCTTGCTTGGCACTTGCTAGGACTTTATTACCTAAGCTTTCTACAGATCCACATGAGAAGTGGACTGCGGTTAACAGTGACTGTTGTGGCCTGCTTCGCAAGTGCAAGGTCCTGAATTCGATCCCTGGTTCAAAAGAAAAAGAGTGACTCCTGTGAGGACATCCGTGCACGTCCCTCTTCCAGCTGCAGCTGTGCCGCCCATTGCTGCATCTGTCTTCCCCATCTGTGCAAGGTGGGGGCGCGCATCCACAGAGACACCGATGGTTAGGGGACACGCCAGAAGAGCAGGTAGTGTCAGGATGAAAACGCTTTACTTTCTGATACCACTGCTCTGATTTAGGCACTTAAGAACCTTGTTAATTTCTGTAGAGTCGATGTGATAACGGCACCTACGTCCACAATTACTGCAAGGATCGAATGACGCAGTGTTTACTCTGTGCGTGGCAGAGCACCTGCCAGGTGCTCAGCTTGTGGACATTTTTGGTTCTGTCAGTTCTTTATCCAACTCTGAGGGTGAACATTTTCAAAAACTAAATTTGTTTAGCTGATCCTATTTCTAGTTTCCCCACAAGCAAATCCCATCAAGTTTCTCTCCTCTCCTGGTGTCACACGCTCCTGCAGATGTAATGAGGCTTTTGACAAAAGCAGCTTCAGAGTTGCTCTGCCTTAACATCCTGGATTTCCTAGAAGGCACAGATCATAAGTAATTTTCCTTTCGTGTTGCTAAATCTTGTAATGTCTTAGAAATTCCAGTAGATTACTATCTGGATTATGTCCTTTAAGCAGGTTCTTCCTTGCAGAAATAGCACATAGATCCATTTTTCAAATCCTAGTGCCAACATGTAGTTTATAAAGTCGTACTTTTGTAGCTGCACAACCCCAGGGATCTGATTGTAAGATGCTGTGCACGGCTGCTGAGGGCAGTGAGCTGGTGTGAGACACATCCCAACCACAGGCCATTTCTTATCCACTTGGGAAAATGACATAAGGACGTGGAAAGCAAATAACAGGGCCTCTGCAAAGAACCATTCAGTGCCAAGTACGGGAGGTGTCATGGGGCAGCACGTGGGCTGGTGTCAAGAGAAATCAGTGCCCGCCTAGTCTGGGAAAGCTTTCTCTCACTTCTCCCTCTCCATGAATTTGCAGACATTGTTGCCTTTTCCCAGCAACCATTTTATAGACCTCAGAGGCCTTAATTTTAAGGTCTCTCATGTGGAAGCTGTTTGGTCCTATTGGTCTTTCAGGGACTCATTAGGCTTTTACTGCCCTTCTGACAGTTAGCTCCCAAGAGTAGGGTGTGGGAGCCACATAGCCATCGGTAAGTCAGATACTAAGTATTGGCTCATTTTTCCTGACCCTGTATGATAACACAGAGTATTTGGATCCAGCAGCATGTTAAGATCTTTAGGGAACAATTTAAATTTCCCAGGCTGGTACATGTAGGAAACACTAACTGTACTTTAGAGGGGCCGGGGGTTTAGCTCAGTGGTTCGGCCACCTGCCTCAAAAGTGCAAGGACCCGAGTTTGATTCCCGATACCAAAAAACGAAAACTATACTTTAGGGGAAGGGGTATAGCTCAGTGCTACAGCTTACCTAACATGTGTGAGGCAGTGTGTGCTTCGGCAGCACATATACTAATGTGTGAGGTCCTGGGTTTAGTCCCCAGGCACCAAACAAAACATGACAAGACAAAAATACTAAAACAAACTATACTTTATTAGGATATAATTTGTGTGCACAGTAGATGCATGTTTCTCAAGTGCAAATTTAGACAAAGATATATACATGTAACCATTACCTAGATCACAATTAAAAACAATCATGCCAGAAATTTTCTTTGCACCCCGTTTCCTATCAGTTCCCCTCCTCCAGGTGCAGCCACCATTCTGATTCCTACAGCATACATTCCTTTTGTCTGCTATTGAACTTCAGATAAAGGGAATCACATAATATTATATTCTTTTGCATCTGTTCTCTTTCACCCAATTCAGTCTGAAGGATTGAATGAATGAGAAATAAATAAATGAAACGCTTTTCCTGGATCATAACAGGTAGTTCACATAAAGAGCCACTCACCTGTGGGCTGTGCATTTTCAGTGGGGACAAAATCTGGCTCTCAGGAGATCAGTAAGCAAATTTTACTGCTTCATTTAAAAAGCATAGACATACATGCAGTCTGTAGATAAGTACACAGTCTGTTGCGATTTTAAAGTTTCCTCAGCGATTAGGTGAAAAGGGCTCCTTTAGGGCAGCTTTACCTACGGGGAAAGGTAAGAAGAAAAAAAGGCAGAGAAACACTGCTGTAAGTGGCCAAGTGGAAGTTCCTTCTGGGGACTGATGTCTTTGTTTACTCCACTTTCCTCATCTGATAATAACCATGCTTACTCCATAAGGCTGGGTGAAGGTTAAGAGAGATGAGAGGTGGTTCCCTATAAGGTCTGGCACTCGCTAAGTCTTCCCATGTTGCCCTTGCATGTTGTGACTGGACTGTACCCCCTCTGCTCCAGGAGCTGACTGGTGGGGTTGTGGGTTAGTGTATGTGGAGGTCACGCTGCCCGTATTTATATTCTCTATCTGGTACTTAATAGCTTGCACAAGTTATTTAACCTATGTCTCCATTCACTAATCTATAAAATGGGAAGAATCATAATAGAGACTTTTATTATGATCTATCGAAAATGAAATGGTACAGAGAAGTAAAAGCACAGTAAGTGCCCAGCGATAACAATAATCTCACCTGCCATCATTTTCTCCTTCTGCTGTGGCATCTTTTCATACCTTTCCTCAGTCATGTTTTACATAAGGAAACTATATACACTGGTTCTAGGTTATTTATTTCTATGTATTTCAAGCAGTTATGCCCTGGATTAAACCACTACTAACACCTCTATTTGTAAAAACATATTTAACTTATTCATAACTTTTGGGAGTTCAGCCCATGTCTAACATCTCTGGAATGGTCCTCAGTGCTCAAGAACTAGCTGGCATGCTTCCTTGAAAGTCATCCGAGGACACACTTGTCCCAGCTGTCTTTTTGTTCTGTGATTGTACGTTGATGCTCTGTCACTCTGTCAACACTGAAAACCTTCCTCCCTACTCCTGTTTATGTTTTTCCCATATATGGTTGGGTGAAATGTAAGAACCATGGGTTATTAGTGAGTGCTCTACATTAAGACGTAGAGCATCTTTTTATACATAAGGCCCTTCTGCAAATCCCAGTCGGTGTGGGTGGGGGAGGAGTCATTATTCCCAAGTATTAGCTGGGCAGCCTGAGGCTGGTAGGTAAGTGGCCCAAATGTCCAGTGGAAACAGCTAGTCACGCTGTGCCTGCAGGGCTGGAACTTTCTCCGCTTTGGTTCAGCTCTTCCGTTTACCCCTGTGACTTAGGAGTGCAGGATGCCAGACCTGTAGAGGACCCGGTGACCCCTACTGCAGACTCTCTGACTGCAGCCAGCAGTGATTCGAACACTGCCTGGAGTTAGAGTTATTGCCTACTTTCCCATCTTTCATGGAGATTTCTTAGGTGTGTTTTCCACACATGCTTATTGATCCCTTCCAGTCTTTTGAACGTACGCATTGCACATTTTTCCCATGTGACTGCACCCTCTGCGGGTGCAGCACAGAAGAGAACATGACTTCCAAACATGCCCAGGGGGTGCTGGGGGAGAATGTGGAGCTACCTGCCAGGTGGAATTTGCACAGGAGGGTCCCTCGTCCCCAGAACCTTTCCATTTTACCTGCCACAAGACTAAAACTTGCAGGCCTGAAAATGCATTCCTGTATAGCATTCTGCCTCAGCCCTCGGCAATTTGTGTTACCAATTTCGACATTTGCCATACTGGTCCGCTTACGCGGTGTTCTACCAGATATAGCCCATAAATTGAGGCTTTACTTAAATTTACACAACAGGTACTTCATATTTTTTAGAAATAGAATTTCAGTATCATTCCTCATAGCCCGAAAGTCTTCATAAATAGTATGTATAATTTATTAAAATGAAGAGAATAAAGTCACCCTGGGTACTGCCAGTGACACCAAGACTTCTGTTGACAATAGGTCAGGCTGCCTGATCATGGAGCGGTGGTACTATGGGCCATTAAGTTAGAGCAGCAGACTCATTCTCAGACCACTTGATCAGTGATGCTTGTGCCTTGAGAAGCAGAAGTCTGTAGGTCAGTGTTGATAATAGAAGATGACAGAAAGATTGATCCATTGGCTTCCTGCCTTGGACACAGCAGGACAGCCTGTGGCAATGGCGTCTTGTCATAAAAGGATCTGGAGGGGACACGAGGGAAAAGAGAGTGGCACTAAAGAAAAAGGGGCAGAGATAGTGAGAGGGAGAGAAAGACAAACCTGAAGCCAGATCTGCCTCGTAGCTCTACCTAGTGCAAACTTCATATCCAGTGTAACAGGATTCTTTATAATTGTTTAATTTATTCATTGTACGTGTAATGGGATTAGCATATGTGGTCACAACCCAGTTATGTAGAAATAGAAGTGACAGAGCACTAGAATGAAGAGCACCAAAATGATGCTGGAGAACTTACAGGGCTGTCACTCCCCTGGTCAGTTCAGGTTCCCCAAGGACATTACAGTGCATACTGGTGTCCACCAGCATTGGCTGAGCGAATGATGCCAAGCCTTTATACTTCACCTTGTGCTTGATTATTGAGGCATTGAAAAAAAGGATTTAGCCATAATTCATAAACATTATACCTGGTTTTATTTTTACTGCACTGTTTTTTTCAGGCTGAATAGAATTAATTTTAAGCTTAACGACTTTTGAAATCTCATTGCAAGTTTTAATCTCTAGAAAGATATAGGTGTTTCAATTTTTTTTTCTTTTGGCAGTACTGGAGATTGAACCTAGGGCCTTTGTACTGAGCTACATTCCTAGCCCTGTTTTATTTTGAGTCTCTGATTTTTTTTTTTCCAGTTCTGAGGCTCAAACTCAGGACCTTGGGCTTGTGAGGCAGGCACAGTGCCACTAAGCTACATCCCTGGCCCACCCTGTTTTATTTTGAGACAGAGTCCAGTAACTAAATTGCCCAGGCTGCTCTTGAACTTGTGATCTTCCTCGCTCAGCCTCCCAGAGTGCTAGGATTACAATGTGCAGTTTTAAAAATGTGTTACAGAGAGTGTAATTATGAATTCTCAAGATTTCACTGTAGTGGCCCTTTCTCTTCCTCAGTGGAAAAAAGAGGGCTCCAGGAACCTAGTAATGTCTGGTTCTGTCCTCCAACTACTACAGTGTCATACCTAACAAATATTGTTTGTTAGATGAGCTTTGCAACAGGAGTCAGACCATTGCACTGCCCTGTACTTTTGAATGAGACCCTCTCAGAGATATCACCAGATGTTTCACTTCCATCTGTTCCCACACAGATGTACAGATTGGTGCTTTAATAAATATGCTCATCAGAGTTGAGTTTCTCACCGTCTCTGGTTGGGCTGCAATCTCTTCCAGTCAGATATGCCCAGATAAACAGTATCAGTTATCTATATTTGATTTTGTTTTCAAGAGACGCTTCCAAGGTTGCAGCCCTTAACAGGGTTGTCCTGAACTTTGCAAGGAGAGAAGCATTCATTGTAACAGTCTCAAGGTACCTGAAAGAGGAAGTGAAAAGGCAGGGATGTGAGAGCAGAGCTTTGGTTTGGGATGCTGTTGAGATTCAAAATTTGGCAACACAAAGTCCTCTCAGATTTCCTTTAGGCAGGGATTTTCATTTAGCATCATTTTGTCCTTAAATTCAGCAGAAGTCATTGCCACATTGGTGTCTCAGGCTGGAGTGAAGATGGTCACCAGACTCCATGCAGTTCAGGACATCTGACTGGGAGGAAAACATCTTCAGCGCGTGTCTAGGCTTCCTAGATTGGAGGAGGGCACTTCTAACACATACAGTAGCATCGTGAAAGAAAACAGGTTAGTGGTTAAGAAAATAGGGATTTCAGACTCAGAGCACCTGGATTAAATTCCAGCTCTGTGTGTTCACCCATACCACAGATGGGACCTGAACATTGGAGTCATTTTATGCTAGCACAGCATTTGTAGGATAGGTGCCTGCATAAGGGCAGACATCGGAGGATCCAGTCTTACTATCGGGCTCCTTTCAGCTGTTCCTATGTTAGCACCATTTTAGGAGAAAGAATGCCAGGTGGATTCTCAGTTATTAATCTACCACCATGGGCTTTTTTCCCTTCAATTTTCTTTCCATTCATTTTCACACCTTTGCAATTAATTCGGCTTTATTGTATTTTTACACAAAACAAGCTTGAATAACCCACTGGGATTATCGTGTAGCATAAAGAAAATTCCGTTCTACCCATGCCACTCGATTCATGAAGCCTTAGGATTCACGTCTGTAATCACTCTGTTACTTACCCTGTTTCATTAGATCTCCGAGGAGACCCACCTTACCACACAGAATGATATTTCTCATTTTCACATAATTCTAGGCATAGAATTCATACTGTAGTAATTCTATGGCCTAGTCCTAACAGGCTGGGAAGCATTTCTTTTTCTTTTTTCTTTTCTTTTCTTTTTTCTTTCTTTTTTTTTTTTTTCTTTTGTGCTGGGGATTGAACTCAAGACCTCACACTTGCCAGGCAGGTGCCATGCCGCTGAGCTAAATCTAGCCCTGGGGAGCATTTTCTTCTTCAGAGCCTCAGTCTTTGTCCTAATCCCAGTGGTCACTCTACACAGGGAATTTGGTAGCCTCTGTATCCCAGTCTCCTTATCTATGAAATAAGGCAATAATCTGCAGGAGGTTGTTATTAGAATAAGTTACATAAATATGTAAAACTAACAGACCAAGTCCTGACACACACAACAGTTCAGTAATTGTTACTTGGTTTTGCCGTTACTATTACTGTCTCTATTGTGATGACTTTCTTTTGTATTATCACTTTTGCTGTAGTCACTCTGTGTCTTCGTGAATTCAGGTTACTATAACAGTCCCATAGACCAGGGGGCTTAAGCAGAAAACCTGCATTTCTTGTACTTCTGGAGTCTGCAAGTCCAGGATCTGGTTGCCAGCCTAGTTGGGGTCAGGTGAGGACCCTTCTCCTGGTCTGCAGACAGCTGGGAGCTTCTTGCTTCCCGGTAGAGAGTTGGCAGCCTTCCTCTTATAAGGACACTCACCCTCTCCTGAGAGCTCTGCCATCCTGTCCCAGGTTCCCCCTAAGAGTGCTGACTCCTAGCGCCATCCCACTGTGGGTGGAGCTTCACCATGCAAGTTTTTCGAGGACACAGACGTGAAGTCCCCTCACCCTACAAACTTATGCTTCAGTAACTGAGCTGTCCCTGGTTCCTTCTGAGAGGGAAGGAGAAGCAGCTCAGAGCCTGAGGCGGCTCCTCTTCCTCCTATACACTCACAGCCCCCGTGCCAAGCACCACAAACTTCCTAGAGGAGTCTGTTATGAAGAAGTATGGTCCAGTACAACCGTGCAGTACCCAGGCTTCAGTAGATGCCATCGAGGTTTCAGAAAGACCATTGGTTAGCAAGATCCTTTCCACTTTGAGGACAGTGTTAACTTGTTTACCACAGAATACCACTGACAGTGAGTTGTCACCGAACTGATGAGGATCTGAATGTGTCACAAAACTCTGTCAAATATATACTGTAAAACATATTCCCTCTGATTTTTCAAATCTTCCAAAACATAAAATGTCTGATTTCCATACAAATGTTAACCAGATCTACTTAATTAAACATATGCTAGGAAAAATGCACATACTGTCTTTGTCAGTTAGTACTTTCTTGTTTTAAATGATAAATACCATTCTAGATATTTGCGGTATATGCTGTGATGTCATGGAATGCATGTAGATACTAAAATTGTTACTGTGGTGAAGCAGGTTAATATGTCTATCATCTCGCAGGGTTACATTTTTGTGACAAGAGCAGCTAAAATGTGTTTCACAAAAATCCCTAATGCAACATGATTTTACAAATTTTTGTCTAGGTATTGTACTTTATCTTTCCAAGTTTGTTTGTTTTGTTTTGTTGGTTTGGTGTGGGGATTGAACCGACATCTTTGTACTGAGCTACATCCATAGCCCCTTTTTATCATTTATTTTGGGATGGGTCTCACTAAGTCTCTAAACTGACCAGGATGGGCTCAAACCTGCCATCTTCCGACCACAGCCTCCCTGAGTGCAAGGGTTATAGCTGTGTGCCACCACGCCCAGCATTTTGCAGTTTTCTGTGTACACATATTGAATAGGGATATGTGCTTAATAACCATAGCTCTCTAAAAGAAGATAGAGCTTGGTTGTCCCAACATCATTAAGGAACATTCTTTTTTTTTGGTTTTTTGAGACAGGGTCTCACTATCTCTATGTGTAGTTTTGGTTGTCCCAACATCATTAAGGAACATTCTTTTTTTTTGGTTTTTTGAGACAGGGTCTCACTATCTCACTATGTAGTTGAGACTGACCTGGAACTCACTATGTAGCTCAGGTTGGTCTCGAACTCACATAGATCCTCCTGTCTCAGCCTCCCGAGTGCTGGGATTACAGGTGTGCGCTACCACACCCAGCCACTTGGAACATTCTTTAATGTTATATTTTCTAGCAGAAAGAAGGAATACTGAGAAAAAAAAATCTATCTTGGATGGGTAGAACTTAATGAGAATCAAATTTTTCTTTAATTAATTAATGTTGTTATCTATGGGCATAGTAAATCCATATCGAGTATATTAAATGAAATGTTTTTCTTTTAAAGATATTCTGGAGTGTGTACAATAATATCCCTCCTGTGACTAGCCTGCCCTTGAGATGTAGTTACCATTTAATGAGAGGAGAGAGGCGACCACTGTGGTAAGTTTCTGACACTTACTGTGAGGTCACGATGGGAGGGACATGGTTGTAAACTTCATGAGAGATCTTTTCACCTGTAGATATCTCTCAGTGAACCCACAGAAAGTCTGCCATAATGACCAGGGGCTGAGGCCCACCAGAAGGCGTCCTTCCTCTTTGATAGCTTGGTGTAGTGTAGTGATGATGGCATTGGAGAGTCAGTTGCCCAGGCTGGAGTCTAAATTACTAATCTTTATATCACATCCTTCAACCTTTTTGAGTCACTTACTCTCTAATAAAATGGAAGTGTAGGGCCGGGGATGTAGCTCAGTGGTGCCATGCCTGAGTTTGCTTCCCCCTTCCAGAAAAAATAAAGTGGAAGATCTCATCTCATTTAATAGTAAGTGGCAGAAACCAAAAGTGAGCAGAAACCAGCATATTTTTGGAAACCATAACTGAGAAGTCTGCTGAGGCTGATAACCTGCACATCTGGGTTCACAGATGTTATCAGGACCCTGACACCCTCCTTGGCCATCCTTGTGCTGGCTAAATTTTCAAGCAGGCTCTCCCATTTGTGCTGGCCAGTGGCCGTCATAAGCTCCAGCCTCACACCCTTCAAGTTTATCAGTGTCACCATTCGCCAGGCACAATAAAATCCCAGGGCCAGGGTCACCATTCCACCCTGGCCAATCACAAAGACTAGGAAGAGCAGGATTCTCTTAGGCAAACCTTTGTCACAGCCTGACTTGAAAGCTAGGATGTGGATTCGACACTCATCTCTATCTAAGTGGGTCCCACATAAAAGCCGAAGGCAATGGGCTCCCTAAGGGAAGCCCCGGTGCTTAGGAGCAGGTGTGAAGCAGGGACGCAGAGCAGCTGTCCACCACAGGGACACTGGTCCATAGAGATGGAGTCGTAAACATGGTCAGACATGTGAAAGTCCTCACACCCAGGAAGCAGTTACATTAATTGTCCATCGTCAGAGAGTGCAGGGAGCCTCTCTACACCATCTGCTTGAGAATAAGGACCTGTGTCCTGTCCTGTCACCCTCCCTGCCCTCATCACTGTTTTCTTCTATCGCCATCTCTGTCCTCTTCCTTTTTCTTCCATCTGCTTCTGTTTCTAGTCAGAGAGTGGGTGAGGGTGAGGGGAGTTACTGAAAAAATGCCTGGTTGTTTTTATTTTGAAGGTCTTCTATTAGTAAGTTAACTGTATGTAGAAAGGCTTAATCTACATGTATCCAGAACCAGTCAGTCATTGAGTATAACTTTAAACATTGGTCTTTGATACAGGGAAGAGGAGAGTAATGCAAAAGGTGGCGTCTGGAAGATGAAAGTGCCCAAGGACAGCACGGTAGGTTTGTTCTGTTTCCCGTAACTGGCTGGCTTGGGATTGCTGTTGACTGTATGCTCTGAGCATTTTGGACTTTTTAGAGATCCTGCCTAGAAGTCTCCCACCAGGCCTGTGGTAACAAACTCAATTCTGACCTTGGTGACAATTCTGCCTTACACTGTCGCCTTGAAGATGTGATATTGCGCTTCTCTATAGAAACAGTGCGATAGTGTCACTGTATCACATAATCTGCAAGGGTTGAATGCCTGTATCTGCATCAAAGAATACAATGTGTTTAATTTTTTTAATGTCTTACAGTAAAAGACACATTGCCAGTAATCCCCCTCACCATACTCCCCCACTTCAGACACACCCATTATTCTTGCAACTTTCTAAAACAGTGCTGGAAGTCTCTTTTGGGAATGTCTTTGGTTGTATTATTTTGGCTGCCTTGATGTCCTGAATTGATTCAAAATGTTTTCCTTTCATGATCATTTGGACTTTGGCGATGAGCCAGAAGTCTCACAGTGCCAGATCCAGTGAAAAAGGTGAATGAGGACACACCAGAATGTTTTTTATGAGCTCTTCTTTCCATTGGATGATAGTGAGAAGTAGCATTCACTATATTTTTGTCATATTTGATAAAAGCTCTCATGAAAGAGGATATCCAGAACTACTTTATAAAGTGGCAAGAATGATGGAGTAAGTCTGTTCAAAATGAGTATTTTCAGGGGGATTATTGGCAATGTGTCATTTACTGTAAAAATTTTAAAACATTTAAACAGTCACCATATTTTTTGATCACCCCTTGCAAACTACAGAAAAAGCTGTTTGTCTTTATAGCAGTCCTTTCCTCATCAGCCATAACTAACGTGGGGAAGTTGGTTTCCATGGAAGGAAGAAGGGTCCTTCCTGCTAAAAGTTCATTCTTCCTCCACTGTAGGGCAGAAGCACTTCACAGTGTCCGTGGGAAGGAAAATGGGAGCCTTGGAGTCTCAGCATTCATTGGGATTTTAGCACAGGTTGCACCCATATTTCATAGGAATGGGCTCTAACCCTTTATAGTGACTGAAAACGAAATTGTCAGGAGCTGGGCCTAAGAGTCCCCAAAGCTAAAAATAGGAGTTTAACCCACCCTTTTAAATTAAGTAGGCAAATTCTGAAAGGGGTCTCGAGCCTCCTTTGGGCACCCCCTCCCAATCAGGTCACTCACAAACCGAGAGGTCCAGCAGGAGATCTTTATTGAAGGGAGTCAGGCGAGGTACAAAGGCCGGGAGGTGAAGAAAAGGAGGCGGGAAGGCAGAGAGAGAGAGAGAGAGAGAGAGAGAGAGAGAGAGAGAGGG